CAACGTTTAATCGCTAAATATAGAGTCACCATGAAATTTCAGCACAATGCTGTTAAAAGTAGACTTAAATTTTCGACTGTTATACTGCCTGTCTTAGTAGAGTATTGAGGCTGAATGATACGCATTGCCTACATGGCTAGCTGCTATGGGAATTGATTTATCAATAGATCTAGAGTGGGTGTGGTTGCGCTACAAAATCTAAGAGCCACCTTAACTTAAAGGTGACTTCATCATCGTCCTGATCTTTTTATCAATTGTCATCATTGCCTCTAAAATTGGAAAATTTCATAACATTTCAGCTTTCTTTTAATCTCTATTAATGTCATCCATGTCTCTGTGTTAGCATTAGCCTACTAGCTTTCATAAACTATAGAAGCTCACATGAAATGAATGCGAAAGCGATCTTCGCAGTAATAAACACTTCTTAAGCAGTAGTGAAAATATGACCTGAAAAAAAAAAATTCAGGCCTGTACGGGATTTGAACCTATGACCTTTGAGATACCGGTGTAGCGCTCTACCAACTGAGCTGACAAAAAGCCAACTGGGAGCTGGTCAGTATGTTGGTTAACAATGAGCCCATGAAATGATGAATAAATGACCTTTTTCAGGCCTTATTTTCACAACTGCTTAAAGCTCATATGGTTTAATAACTATGAAGGCGGGATAAATGTTATCAGTCAACATTCCGTTTTGCATATTTAAGTCTAGACTAGCATATTTAATGAAATTAATGTGTGCATTGTGAGGTAGTGTAATTTAATTGACGTCAGTGTTTTCATACCGCCAATTCATTATTGCGTTCACGAGACTCGAAAGGTTTATCCATCGTTGCCATATTGTATCCTTTATAGAGAAAGCCACTGGGTCCTTTACCCGTCTCTATGTCTCCATTGTGACGCTTCTCACCGCTACCTTTGTTGTTTGTCCACTTACATTTACAGTCGCTGATTGAAATTTGTATCCCGACACATCCATGACCCAGCTATCGTCCCTCCGTCTCTCATTCCTGGCGCGACAAAGATCTTGTATTCAGTCAATGCTCTGGAAGTCAAGAACAGTACCGCATTATCGACTACTCTCCCACAAAGAGACACCAGCGAGAGCAAAGAGCAAATACCTACCCGTTTGAGCAGCTCCGTTTTTTCATCCATTCGGGCCTTATTCTCTTTGCGTTAACCTTATGGGAGAGCCAGAATATCGGTCCACTCATACGCACCCACTACCCGGTCGGTGTCGTTTTGTGACAGAGCAGAAGCAACGACCCTCTCATGGGAGAGCATAATATATTTGAATAAAGGGGTGAGTCTCTAAAGAATCTGTGTTGCTGCGTCGGTGGAAAAGTATAACAACTTAATTTTGTTTTATTGACTGAGTTGATAACGTAATTTGGCCACCGTAAAGAGTTTCCAAGGCGACGTTTCAAGCGTTAGCACTTCGTCTCTCGCTCAGACGAAGGGCTAACGCTGGAATGTCAGCTTTGAAACTCTTACTGTTGCAAATTTACGTTATCGACTCAGTTGATAAAACCTTATTACCTTATCATTTATCTGATCAGACGAAGTGGCTAAGCTTTGTTATTATATCACTGGCAGTGCCCGTGGGCAGTATGAAGTGAATCCTGTTCTCTGATTGGCTATCTAAGCGGGCAAGATGGCCCATCACGATCTTGGCGATGTAGTCGCAAAAAAACTCGGCAGAGGGAGGTTAAAACAAAGAAAACATAAACAACTCACCCGCGTTTGCTTTACTACAAACACAGTTGGCCTTCTCGTCCGGTTCTCTCATATATGTTTTTTGCATTCACCTTTCACAAATGATCACTGCTATTGGTACATATATATATATATATATATATATGACTTTCTCTATTGTTCATAGGTAATACTGCAATAGTGGAAAAAAAAAAGGTTGCAGTCTCTTTCATTCAATAAATTTTGCTTATTGCCTGTAAATTTTTATGACACTGATGCCCTAATATTGTCATAGTGGCAAAAGTTGTAAGGAAGATACATGGGTTGAACTCAAATCAAAGTAAATGATTATTTAAGAAAATTATTTGCACAAGTTGTGGAATAAATATACTTTTAATTGTATTTCAATCTGGGTACTTGTCCTGATAAAATGTTATATAATCAGACATATAAATAATAAAAAAGTAAATAAATTTCTTTACTTGCCCATAACACATTATATCTTTGATTATATAAAACATGGGCATTCTCCATTTTATACAAATTTTATGTGATTACAACTTTATTCACATGTCCATAATATAACTTACAACTTGAATCATGCTTAAATTCTCCATTTTATACATTCATGGACTTAAATTTATAGACACAGTAGGGATAGAACATCATCTTTGTTCCAAAAGGAACACTTCCAACTCCAATTTCCTCTTTTTTAGCTTAAGATTTTCCTGCTTTAAAATTAATGCTTTGTACTGGGCCTCAAGAACGTCGTCTTGTGTTGTCTTTCTTTTACTCTTTTTTTTATGATGATTTTCTTCTTTCGGTGTATTGACCACTTCATCATCGATTTCGTGGGTGTTGGCTTCATCTTGCTGCACAGCTTCTTGGAGTTCTTTAAACAGGTCTTCATTCACCTCAATTGTTTCCAATTGAGCAGCTACTTCCGGCTGGTTTGCTTCAGGGCCTTAAAAAAACATCCCCACATATTACGGTCAAAAAAAGTGACCTCTTGTTTAAAATTACTTGTCATCAGTTCAAAGGTTCAAAGTAAATCATGACCGAAATGACTGATCTAAATTCACTGAAAGTACTGGCTGTTCAGTTCAAGACAGGTCTCTTTCTAGGAAGCTTTGAGGGAGTCTTGAAGAAATGGTAAGTCTAAAAGCTTTTACTCAAAGCTTCTGCAGTTTTAGGAATATTTGTTATTTTTGTGCTCGCCGTGGGTTGCGTGACAAATAGTGTAACAAATATGATAATCAAAGCTAATAAAGGCAGTGTTCACACTTGGTGCCCGGGCACCGTGCCCGGGTTCTATTCTACGCCGGGCACCAATGTGAACACACCTTTTTCCTGATACCCACGCCAGAATTCGGGCACGGTGCCGGTGCCCGAGTACAAGGTCTCGACCAAGGTCTTACCAAACATAGTCGAAACGACTGGCTAATCGAAAGGGTGCTCTGTAAGTTGGATAACAGTGCGATTTCAATTGTTGATTATATGTTAAAGAAGATGACATTTCTGTGTCAAGTGTAAATCTCGTCAGCCATTTTTGTCTGAATGAACAAAGATCTTATTTGACTCAGGGATTAATAATATAAAAAGACCTCTGCCGCCCGTTAAATTTCTCTAGTTTATCAGTTGTCACCACATAGATTTTCCTGTTAACTATAGATTCCTCGATGCAGTTGTTGAGATGCTAATATTGTTATCTACCGTAAAAGTTTCTGAATAATTTATTTAGTACTTAATCTCTTTGAAAAAAAACACTTCTCGTGGACAAAATATACCCAGTTACAACTGAGTTGAAAGTTAATGCGGTATTGAGCAAAATTTTTTAGAAACTTCTATACACCAGTTATTATGTCAAAAACCGCATCAAGGCACCAAAAAATTTGAAAGCAAATAGAACCGCATTAATTTTCAACTCAGTTGTAACTGGGCATATTTTGTCTGCGAGAAGTGTTCTATTTGCTTTCAAATTTGTGATGTCTAAACTCTGAGCATTTCGTTTCGTTTCCTTCGATGGAAACTATTTTGTTTCATCACTCTATAGCTCGCAGCCATCGCAGATTATCAGTTGTTATCACTTAAATGTTATATTCGACGATAGAAGCCTTGATGCAGTTGTTGACATAATAACTGATGTCTAGAAGTTTCTAAAGCATTTAGTGAGTATCGCATTAATTTTCGACTCAGTTGTAACTGAGAATATTTTGTCTGCGAGAAGTGTTTTTTTCAAAGAGTGTTTTTTTCAACGGTAGATAACAATATTAATATCTCAACAACTACATCGACGAGTCTATTGTTACCATGAAAGTCTATATGATAACAACTGACAAACTAGAAAAATTTAACGGACGGCAGGGTCATTTTTTATTATAACATAGCGCGTAAATTTGTCTAATAAAATTTAATTGCGTGAGCGTGTTTCATATTCCTATTGTGCACGCTCATGACGTCGCAAACAAATCCCTCGAAAATTTTGTATTCGATCAGAAAATAAAGTTGAAATCACCTGTCAGTTTTACGACCAATCTAAGAAAAGATCGTTAACAGCGTAGCGAAATGTTTTCCTGAAACAAAATTATCAACGCGCTGAAGGGAAGTTTGGAGAACACTCAAGAAGCTAGAGTTGCTCGAGGCGTAGCCGAGAGCAACTCTTACGCATCTTTCGTGCTTTCCAAACTTCCCACGTGCTTCACATCTCGATGAACGCATGCCGACGAATGAAGCAATTGTTAATTTTAAATCTCTGAATCAAATAAGATCTTTGTTCATTCAGAAAGAAATGGCTGACGAGATTAATACTTGACGCGCAAATGTCATCTTCTTTAACATCTAATGAACAATTGAAATCGTACCGTTATCCAGCTTTCAGTGCATCCTTTCAATTAGCCAGTCGATTCGGCGGCTATGATTGGTAAGATAAATAATAAAAATCTCCAAATTTTATGTAAATTATTCAATATCATCCCCTTGTTGACTTCTGATGAAAACGCCTGCGACACAATTACAAAGCTAAGGAGTACGCACACCTTAGACGAGGTCATCACCAGAAAATCAAAATGAATTTTGCTCTGTGTGCTGAACTAATCGTGTTATTAATGTTCGAAGTCGTATCTTCTCAAGCATTTGTTTGTAAGAAAGCATCTCTTTCTTGTCCTGTGATAACTTACAATCATCGCCGACTTAAAGGCTTCACGTTCAAAACAATTCACCTTGCAAGCCTGATATCCTGTGGTTTGCTATGTCAGAGAGACCCTCGATGCGTTTCAACAAATTTCAGAAAAGTTTTCAAAAGTGAAGGAACCTGTGAGTTGAACGACAGAGGAGTTCTCCTTACTGGGAAAGGAAACGAATTGGAATACGACGAAGAAGCAATTTACACTCAATTTTACGACACGAAGGTAACAAAAAAATCTCGATAAAAGACCAAGAAGAAGGTGTTATTGACTCCTCGAGACACTTGTCTTTCATTTGTGGTATCTTTCTCATAAAATCGTCATATTTCGACGACAGATGTGAAAACTTTCCATCTGTCATATTTTTCTTTGAATGTTTTTATCGTTTGGTCCTAAAGTAGTTTGACGTGTATGCGGGTAAAATGGTGATTTTTCATCTTCTTCCTTTAGAGGCGAATAGACTACATTTCATTGAGTGCTGATAATCAAAATGGTCTATGGTCATTCAAAGTAAAATAAGCAATTTTTCCAGATAACTGGTAATTTAAATCTCAGTATCATTGGATTCAATGTATGCAAACTGCTCCGAAGCTCAATAAAGTTAAATATTTTTTAAGTTGAAAGTTCTTAAATAAATTGAGGTGGACCGAAAGTAGGTCATACGGATTTAGTACACAAAATTCAGTATAAAATTTAGCTTGAAGCTAAAACTTTCAAGATGTATCTAAAGGCCTTCAATTAGCTCACTTGTGCAGTCTCCATTCGGTGACGAACCCGGAAGACTAAGTGATCTTCCGATAAAATAAAAAATGATTGATTTTTTGTTTTCAGTACCACTGTCAGGCCTTCAAGGAAGATCTAAAAGTCGTCAACTGCAAATGTAAGTAGCGTTGGTTTGAAGGGTATCCTTGAGATTAAAGTCAACGACTTCGTGGTTAAATTACAATGAGTTACTTGTCCCAGCTGCTTCTTGTCTCTCCGCCAATAGGTGCGGAGTCTGCCGTCCTCGCGAACCTTCGCGGACCCTCACAAACATTCCCGAACCTGCTTGAAACATTTCGATTCTTACATTTTCCTTAAAAGTCCTCGAATGTTGTCAAAAAAATTGCTAAGGAAAATGTTGCCTAGTTTACTTCTAAATTAAAGTAAAAATCAAGGCTTTAATTCCCATGAGTGACCAAGACAGAATTTCTCCTTACAATAACCATACAATATCAATCAGACAGGTGATGAGAATAATGAAGAATATAAGTTTGAGGATTTTCTAGTTGATCCAGTACCAAATTCTCAGAACTAGCATCATAAGAGTTGTATAGCAGACAGTAAGGAGAATTACTAATGAGATTTTGGGCACTAAAGGGTAAAGGAAACAAGAACCTACTGAAGAGGCCGAGGACACTCACTGCGTTATTCACAATTTCAAATGCCGATGTGCCTACCAAATACACCGCGAAAACATGATAGCGTTTAGTCATCAATGGGAAGCAATTTAAACAAATCCAGAAAATAGACAAGGCAAACTTCAGGGATCCAAAAACGATTGGATACTCCAAAGGTGCCGCGAATTTTCATTTGTAGTAGAGCTTCGACCATCACTTGTAAGTCGGAGAGATTTAACTCACGTGAAAGTTTTTATCGTTATCAAATTTTTTTATCATAATGCTTGAGATAAAGTGGGAGGGTGAGACTGCACTTACTTTTACATTTCTATTCAAACGTTTTCAAAATCCTCCTTTTATTTCTATTCAACCGTTCTCAAAATCCTCCTTTGTTCTATGATAAACAAATCAATGTCCGTGCGATTGCATTTGTCTGTCTCAATTTCAGGTGCGGAATCACCAAAAGCCCCAGTTCCCCTCGGCATGGAAAGCGGTGCTATTTTTGACTCACAGATCACCGCTTCTTCCGTGTATAATGATAACCTTGCCGCACGGAATGCTAGATTACATTTTAAAGGATCCGAAAACCCGCTTAGACGTGCTGGCTGGGTACCTGGAGTGAAAAACACCAACCAATGGCTGCAAGTGGATCTTCAGCAAACCACAAGGGTAATAGGCATAGCGACGCAGGGGAGACATGATTTCGATCAGTGGGTTACTAAATACAAGCTGCAATATGGCGATGATGGACAAACTTTCAGAGTTTACAAGCGGAACGGAGACATATCAGACACGGTATGAAAAAATATGCTTAATTGAAAAAACCTTTTTGCGGAGAAAAATTCCCCCATGAGGAATAGAACCTTTTTGTATTCTGCATTCTAATTTTCTTCCACTGAGCCACAAAGCAGTTACACTAGGCTGGGCCATATACTCTCTGTCATTGAACCAACAGAAAAGCATTCACGAAAGTTATAGGTTAAGAGTAACTCGTACTGTAAAAACGTACGTGCGTACTTACGCTCGTTAATTTTACGCCCAAATATATTCTACTCAGGTTTTTCCAGGAAACAAGGACAGAGACACAGTAGTTTACCACGATCTTAACCCGCTCATTTATGTTCGCTTTGTTCGAGTTCTTCCGATGGAATGGAAAGGGACGATCGCTATGAGGATTGAGCTTTATTCTTGTTAAGGTAACCTACTAGGGTCCAGTTGTGTAGCAATGGGCCGAGATTTTTTTTAAAAACGTATTCTGGGAGACGGAAGGTGTGCGTTGGGTAAGGGTGAGCTGTAATGGACTGACATTACATTTAACCCTTTATCTCCCAAGATCTTCATCCTAATTCTCCCGTCTAGCTGCTACACATTCCTTGCAAATCAGGTACAAGAATTAGGTGTTGGATCAGGATAACAACTTTTACCTGATAAGCGTGAATATTCTCATCACCTGTTTGCAAGATATATCTATGGATATTTTAGGAAAAAGTTTCATTTTAGTCACTTATGGGAGTTAAAGGTTAAGAGCGCTAGCAGTGCTCAGAAACCAAAGCGAGCCCCGGTTTAAGGCCAGTTGCCCTTTGAGTTTTACACATGTTTGTAATTTGTCATCGATAGAGCTCACGCACTTCACATAACATCCCCAACACCTATATCTTTTTTAACCCTAAGCAAAATACATTATTTGTTTTTGATAGAAAACCAATTTGTTTAAAAGTGAAAGAGTCACAACTGAAGGGAAGAATTCACCTTTTCGGCGTTAAATTGCACTTGTAGTGTCACGTGACCTCTGATGTAAACAAACCGCGAAAGTTTAGACTTTAAGTCAACCACCCACGGCTCGAGTCCGAACTTCGGCTTCGGCATTTTGTCGTGAATAGTTTCCCTTTGTCGCGCCATGGAATGAAAAACACTGTGATGTATCTTCTCAGGTATTTTCAGGGCGTTGAGCGCGTTGATTGTTAAATGAAACTACGTCTGATAGGAGATTATTGCCCACGAATCGCTGTAGAACGTGATCAAGCCTGGATTCCCACACAGAATCTCGTTTCATATCGTATTGCGTGGAATGTTTTATGTAACGCAAAGGGGAAATCCTGCCAAATCCAGTTCAGTCTTCAAGAGTAGTTGTAGCTTAGAATAGCAGATCACAAAATTTGAGACGGGTTCAACGCTATGAATGGGGTAGAAACTAAAAATATCTGCAAAAACGGGGCATTTCAGTCGGCAGATATTTCACAACTTTTTGTGTGGAAATCGCCTCCACAGTCGAAAAAAAAGGGTTCTATAAGTGTGTCCAAATTTCGAAAAAGGCGGCGCCACTACTTCAGGCAAATCAATAATTCATGATATGTTTATTTGCAATCTAGTTTTTTTGAAGACTGTGAACAATTTTAACGCTTCCCGGCCGTTTGGATCGTAGGATATTTTTAATCATTTGATTTACTACTCCACCGCGTCAGGCATGGACTCGCCGCTTGTAAATCATTTGAAGATTATCGCCTATTCGATGATCGTTGATTACGTATTGTAAGCATCAGAAGTCTCGTGACACTACACGTGAAATCTAACGCCGAAAAGGTGAATTATCATTCAGACCCTGGAAGGCAGAGGAATCGAAAAAAACGACCAGAAATTATCTTTTACATGCTTGTTAATGCTGTTTTTGTTTCCTTATTTTTCATATAGAATAACAGCTGTTTGCGAGAAACATCACTGCAATTCAATCCCTTCCACGGCTAATCCAAAATGATTTTTGTTTGTGGATTACAAAGTATAACAGCAGCTTGATTCGCTGACTAATTAATTACTGATCGTTTTAGCTTAATAGTCGTTATAATTCGTAATGTGAGGGATTTGCACCAATGGCAGCACATTAGGACGCACCTGTTTAAACGAACGAGCGAACGTTTTTTTTTGGAGACTCGTGTTCGATCAACCTCAGTGCCTAACGAGAACCGATGGTGAAAACAAACCAATATCTGGTGAAAATGTATAATATCTCATACTCTCTTCACCACTTTAACAAAGTAATAAATCTTGTATCGTAGGAAAGTGACACATGTGTGTTCATTAAGGAAAAAGCGACAAGAAGCCTCTGACGAGTTTGCATGCCTTTAAAACGTGTTTAGCAGTTGTAACTGATGAAATTATTTAATAAAGTATGTACCCCTAATTAAATTTGTAAGTAAGCAAATGAACCTTGCGAGTAAATGTGACTCAAATAGTCAGATTTAACGCTCAGGAATTGTTGAGAAATAATCGCACAATAAAGGAAGTTGTTACAACCGTGAAGGTTTCGACTTTTTAGAGCAAAAATGGCTATGAGAGATTATGGAAACAAACCATCACGAAATCATTGAAAGTCCTGGAATTTTTGCAATGGATGAATCTGATATTATAGTTTCTTCATTCATCAAATTGTGACATGTATTTCTAGTAGGATTCGAACCTGCAATTCTTCGTGTATAAGGCGGACGTGATAACTACTCCACTACAGGAACGCGGCTTGTAAGCATGGCTTTGTCCGCCAAGAGCATTTCACTCATGGCGGGATATGACGTAGTCTTTGAAGGTCAAGAAAAGCTCTGAAGGCATTTGCGATATCGGCGCAATTTTGATTTTATTTCTGGTTACTTTTACATTCGCTGAGCTGGGTTACAATTTGGACTAACGTAAACTTTAACGTCATTTTGACAGTGCACGTATTGTATTATCGGAGAGCTCAATTTTAAATTTTGTCTCATTGCTGTTTATTGAATAAAGATTAAACTCACGCATACAACATTTGCAACTGCAGAAGACACGGCCACAGGTGAATGATGGCTTTGTATTGTTATTCTTCCTCGTGAAAAAAAAGTCATACCGACTGTTGCTGTAACATGATTTTATATTCAAGTTAGTTATAAACTGCGTCCTCTTCATATGAATTTCTTTTCGTTATTGAGGTATCAAAGTTCCTCTGTCGTTCATATCACAGATTCCAGTTGCTATTTTGAAACTTGAAATTTTAGGGAAATCGAGAACTTCTTTGACATTGCAAACCGTAGGATGCTAAGCTTACAGAATGAAAGATTTGAAGGTGAGTCCTGATAGTCGGCTATTATGTAAGTTATAGCGCTATGAGAGAAAAGAGTTTTCATTTGCGGCAACCCAATGAGATGTGTGTGTTGAATCACTCGTGTTATTAATGTCCGAAGTCGTAGCCTTTCAAGCATTTCTTTGTAAGGAAGCATCTCTTTCTTTTCCTGTGGTAACTCACCATCATCGCCGACTTAAAGGCTTTACGCCCAAAACATTTCATTCGGCAAGCCTGATATCCTGTGGTTTGCAATGTCAGAGAAACCCTCGATGCTTTTCAACAAATTTCAAAAAAGTTTCCAAAACTGAGGGAACGTGTGAGTTAAACGACAGAGGAGTCTTCCCTCCTGAGGAAGGATAAGAACTCGAATATGACGAAGAAGCTATTTACACTCAATGTTACTCCAAAAAGGTAACAAAAATGTGTCTTATCTATTTTAAGTATTGATCCACTTAAGAAGTGGGCGTCTTCAAAATCGTGATCGCGATCACGGCCCACAAAAACCCAGTGGCGGTCAGTGTTTACATTAAGGAAAATTTCAAAGTATCTCCGATGGAGAAAATATCATCTGTCTCTGAAAATGACTTCTAACAATTATGGCTGAAAGTGTAAAAGTCGCTGCTCAAAGTCATTCCTTATCTGTACAGTTTATCGTCCGCCGAGCACACCATTTAACTTCCTGGATGATATTGCTGAAAATGTCATCAGGAGTATTTTTTACTAGGACTCGATGTCATCATACTGGGTGATCTCAACTGGAACTTCCTTCGAGATAATATGGAGTCTGGCGTCCTCATGGATTTTGTTCGACCTTTAATCTCACACAGCCAATCAACAAACCAACTAGAGTTACAGATAATAGCGAATCCTTGATTGACGTTGTAATGACCACAAACGAAAACCTAGTAGCTTTTAGTGATGTCCAGATGTCAACTATTAGCGATCACAACCTCGTAAATATAACACTGAAGCCAAAAAAGCCAAGAATCAAGCACTCTTACGTAATCATCAGAAGCTACAGAAATTACAAAGTCGACAACTTTCTACATGACCTCTCCCTCATGCCTTTTCATATAATTAGTCTATTTGACGAATTAAACGATCAGGTTGACGCATTCAATGACTTGTTCTTGGAAGTCCTAAATCATCACGCACTGGTCACAATGGTTAAAATTAGATCCAAACCTAATCCATTTATCACACCAGAAATTCGTCAACTGATGAGAACACGCGACCAATGGCGCAAACTTGCTTCGAAAACAAAGGATCCCCTTCACCGGAATGGTTGCAAATTTTTTCGTTAAGAAGTTAAGATGGAGATCCGAATAGCTGAAAAAGCTTACTTCAGGGCTCAAATTCTGGAGAGTAAAGGAAATTCTAACTCTATCTGGAAAATCATTCATCGTTGTCTGCTTCGTAAGAATCAAGATGACTGAAGGAATTTTTCACTTCTGTTGGTAGCCTGACTGCCGTAAAAGCAAGTGAGTTGACTTCACAAAACGAGTTCAATTCGAATTTCGAAGTGCTACCACCTGCTCTTGTTTCTTCCACAGCAGTCAAAAATAATCCAAAGTTAGGGAGGCCACGCAAAGTCAGGTACTTGAAAATGTGATCAGAATATTACAATACAATACAATACAATACAATACAATACAATACAAACTTTATTGACACTCCCTAAGAGGGCTTTTCAGTGACAATGAATAATTACAATAATAAAAATGTTTAATCTATAAAGCTAAAAATAATTACGAAAATTACAACTAAGAAACTTTAAGAAGGTACGATGAAATGGGTAAGATAAAAACTAAGAAACTTTAAAAAAGGACAATAAAAAATATATGATATGATTAAAAACTAGGACCGAGGAGAAAGAAAAGCAGCAAATAATTTGGCCCTAAGTTTACGCTTAAAATTAGAAGAAGAATTACAAAGTTCAAGATCGTTATCTAAACTGTTCCACAGGCTGACAGTGCGATAATAAAAAGTTCTTTGTCCAGATTTAGTTTTGTATAATGGTATGTGCAACAGTTGGGAGCTTCTGGTCGTGCGACCGCTAACATTACCGCGCGTTAGAAACTTCGAAGAGAGGTAAGTAGGAGCAGATCCAGTCATACATTTAAAAGCAAGCACGGCGTCACGGAAGTATAGCTGAGATTTAATAGGTAGCCAATGCAGTTCTTTCAAAAGCGGAGTAACGTGGTCAAATTTTCTGGATCCACAAATAATCCGGGCTGCAAAGTTCTGGATCGCTTGGAGCTTGAGGAGGTTAGTGTCAGTAGCATTGGACCAGACGGAGGAACAATAAAACAACTTACTAAATACTAAAGTGTTAATTATAGTAATTAAAGTCGATCTATTACCGTCTAACAAGGCTCCAGGAATGGACAAAATATCTTCTAGAATATAAAAAGACATTCAGCCTTCCTTTCACACTTTCGACAATAACTCACATTGTAAACACCTCTTTCACCACCAATACGTTCGCGCGTGCATGAAAAATGGTAGAAATCACACCTAGTCTTAAATGCGGAAACCCTGAAGTTCCCTCCGTCCTTTGTTTTCAAGGTGTCCGACCAGGTATGACTAGAGGTGTGGTGAAGTTGTAAGACCTCATAGCATCCTAGGGACCGACTATTAGATTTTTGCAGCGTGGGGGGAGGGGGGGGGGTGTTGGTGTGTTGGTGTGTTGGGCAATAACCTTCGAAAAAATCGAGCACAGGCTTAATGGAAGAAAACACATCGTGCAATTGGCAGAAGACCCCCCCCCGCATCAAAAATCTAATGGTCCGTCTCTAAGGTACCTTTTAAATTATTCCAAAATGGATTTCGTTCCGGAACGAAATGAATTTCATACCGCGTTTACATGAAAGATAATTTAGCTTCTAAAAACAAGTATTTACGTCCTTTATCTATGCTTCCCTCGCTCCTAAAGAGGACTCATACAGATATGAGTACCGCGTTTGCTTTGTACAGGTACAAAAGGTCGTCCAAAATAAGTGTTTCGTTCTGGAATGAAAACCTCAATAAACTCATTCAGAAATGACTCGTTTCGAATAATTTTACCCTGGTATCATGTGGCAACCGGGATGAACTCGTTCTTGAACAAAACTCATTCCGATATCATGTAAAAGGCCCCTAAGAGTTTTTATTTGCATATTTAAGCAGTCGAACGAAAAAAATCATTTCTCAAAAACTAAAATATATTTTCAGAAAAAAACAACATCACAATTACTAAGACATATTGGGCGACAAAATATGAAAGTAGGAGAGAAAATGAATTTGGGCGACTTGCCGCTGTTTGTCTGGTACATGTTGACATTAGCTCTTAAATTGAATGATGCAATCATGGTTTTCAAGTTCATTAATAATCTTGCTCCAGACTACCTTGCAAATAAGTTTAAGCTACGTTCTTGTGTTCATGACTGGCAAACTCGATCAGCTAGTACCCTGGATAAACCCTTTTGCTGTCTGTCAACTGGTCAGAGATCTTTTGCTTATAGAGGAGCGAAACTGTGTAACTCATTAAGCAGCAATCTTTAGTGTTTAAAATGTCCCAAGAAATTTACGTTTCAATTTACTTAGCTGTGTTACGAGTGATCGTTAAGTGAAAATGATTGTCTGTAGCTAAACAGAACGCAGGGATGTCGGAACAGCAACAAAGATGATTTATTCCAAATCGTCACAGTACACTTTTGAGTAACCTCTACCTCTGTCACACTACTTAGCTTGTGAAAAACAAATAATACTTAACAGCATGAGATTCTGGAACTTTCCGGCCAACCTAATTTTAGTAGCATTCCAACGTTTTACTATTTACAGCATTTTACACGGACTTGAAAAACTACCGATGCGCAGTGATGCGAAACTGATTAAATGTTGAAGAAACTTCTAGGCTTAAATAAGCATACTCACGAAACTTCTGAGCAGTCACGCAACAATTTTACGTAGCAAGCTGCTATTAGGTTAATTTCATCATTTAATATTTTTATTCCTTTGATATATAAATATATTTAGCTGTAACTATAGTTCTATATTCTTCAATTTTAGTTTTATTTCTTTTAACCTTATCTTGTTGCTGAAAAAATCATTCAGGGAGCTTCAATAAAGGTCTGTATCTGAATCTGTAATTTCAGTCTTCTATTTTGCGCAGACATCTAAAGGGTGGATTGCGCAGGAATATTGCTAATGAGTACAAGTGCACCTGTTCCGATGGATACACCAGCAGCCATTGTGAACAAGGGGGGTGGACGGCTTTTTTAGACTTAAGCACATAAGATGTTTATTTTGTTTTTGTCCATCCTCATGAAATGATATAGCACGCACTTTTGCAGTAATACCACAATGCTCTCTGATATGCAGATGTTGTTGGTACTTTGCTGATAGGTCTAATCTTTTCAGTGTGTTTGTTCTCAGCACGAACTGCCGTGCCATGTTTCAACTTCTTGACAGTCTACATACTGTGAATGAAAATAACAACATTGTTTATATAAGCTATCTAAAATTAGTTCATCTTCCGGCCTGGGTAGACTTTAAATTTTTCCTACTCAATGCTTGTGACTCTGAATTTTTAGCGTTTGTGTACTTACCTTGAATCCGAAGGTATCACACAAACGAAGGCGACTTCACTGAAACCTAACCTAACTTCTTTGACATTGCAATCCGTGGGATGCTAAGCTTACAGAATAAAAGATTTAAAGGTGAATCCTGATAGTGGGCTATTATGCAAGTATATGTATAGCGATATGAGAGAAAAGAGTTTTCATTTGCGGCAACCCAATAAGATGCCAAGAGTTTAGAAAGATCAGCTGCCTATTTATGCAGAATATGGCTGGAAGTCGAATCGCATTTATCTTCAGCTCAAGTGTAACTGGCTATGTGTAGTTTACTACAAAGTGTGTTTTATTCTGAGAATAAGTGTTGGTTACGAAGAGAGTTTTTCTTTTAAGAAAATAAGCGCTGAATAAATTATAAAGACACTTCTGGATATCCATTACTATTTGAAAAACGGCATTGAAGCTTCTATAGTTCACAATAACATTTTAATAATAACAATCGATAATCTGAATCTGAAATTTTAACTAAGTATCAATGATTAACTTCACAGCGGCAATGAGGCTTTCAGAGTTGACAAGAAAATTTAAATCACAACAACTGATGAACTAGATTTGAATTTTAACGGAAGTCACAATTCACCATTTTTTTGTTTTTATTTTTCTTTCCTTGAATAAGTTGATATATTTGAGTGTTTATTCAGACAGAAATAACTGACGAAATTAACACTTCGCACGGACAAATATGTCTAACATATAATGAACGATTACAATATTAATTATGCTAGAAATAAGAGAGATGGTAAGTTTTGAGCTCGGTAAAGATATAGAGAAAGATGTTTTTTCGTCATGTCACGAGCGTGGGACAAAGAAAAAAAAGAAAAAATTCTGAGTTCCCATAAGGAATCAAACCTCAGACCTTCGTATTAGGCGCTCCGGTGCTCGAAAATTTACCATCTCTCTTATTTATATCAACAAACATTACGCTTTAAACATTGCTGACCTCAGCAGTATACAGGACACGTGTCATATGAATGTCGAATAGACTTCGCTCACCTTGGAGTCTCTGTTGTTCAGTGGCTAGAGCATCGGAGCGTGGAATCCAAAGGTCTGAGGTTCGATTCCTCATTGGTACTCAGAATTTTTTCTGTGTCCCACGCTCGTGACAAGAAGAAAAAACACCTTTCGCTATTAATTATTCTGTTATTCAGCTCTCAGAGCATCCTTTCCACTTGACTATAGTTGGAAAAATTTTTATAAACGTCTCTAAACTCTTTTTATATTAATTGAGATATTTTCGAATATTTTACAAAACTGCGTATACGCACCGAAGGCAAAGTCTCGACCGAAATAATAATGATAATGATAATAATAATTTATTACTTATATAGCGCAAAATACATGTGGATATGATCTAAAGCGCTATTTATCTAGTGCGCCAAGAAAAAATAAAAACAAATGAATTTTTTCTGTGAATTAAGGCTTCACGGTCAAAATATTTCATCTGGCAAGCATGATATCCTGTGGTTTGCCAGAGACCCTCGATGCGTTTCAGTCTATTACTCTTATTTATGAGAATATGTGTTTTAAGGCAATAAGTGACGATTAAATTATAAAGAAACTGCCGGATACCAATTACCATTTCAACAACGGCATTGATGCTTCTATAGTTCACAAAAACATTTGAATGATACAATGGATAAAGTGGATCTGAAATTTATTATCTTCACAACGGCAATGAGGCTTCTAGAGATGACCAGATTATTTAAATGATAACAACTGATAAACTAGTTTTTTAGTTAGTGCGCCAAGAAAAAATAAAAACAAATGAATTTTTTCTGTGAATTAAGGCTTCACGGTCAAAATATTTCATCTGGCAAGCATGATATCCTGTGGTTTGCCAGAGAGACCCTCGATGCGTTTCAGTTTATTACTCTTATTTATGAGAATATGTGTTAGTTACGAAGAGAGTTTTTTTTAACTAAGTATCAATTATTAACTTCACAAAGACAATGAGGCTTCTGAAGTTGACCAGAAAATTTAAATGGCAACAACTGATAAACTAGATTTGTATTTTAAGGGAAGGCGAAATTCACATTTTTTTTTGTTTTTGGTTTTATTTTTCAGTCCTTGAATAAGAAGATATATTTCAGTGTTTATTCAGACAGAAATGGCTGACGTAAATAACACTTCGCACGGACAAATATGTCTCTTTAACATATAATGAACGATTACAATATTAATCATTCTTTTATTCAGCTCTCCGAGCATCCTTTCCACTTGACTATAATTGGGAAAAAAAAGTTTTTAAACGTCTCTGAACTCTTTTCATATTAATTGAAATATTTTCGAAGCTTTTACAAAACTGCGTGTACACACCGAAGGCAAAGTCTCGACCGAAATAATAATAATTTATTACTTATATAGCACAAAATACATGTGGATATGATCTAAAGCGTTATTTATCTAATGCGCTAAGAAAAAAAAAAAAAAAAAGAATTTTTTTTTGTGACTTAAGGCTTCACGGTCAAAATATTTCATCTTGCAAGCCTGATATCCTGTGGTTTGCCAGAGAGACCCTCGATGCGTTTCAGTTTATTACTCTTATTTATGAGAATATGTGTTGGTTACGAAGAGAGTTTTTTTTAGACAATAAGCGACGATGCTTCTATAGTTCACAACAACATTTGAATGATAACAATTGATAAAGTGGATCTGATGTTTTAACTAAGTATCAATTATTAACTTCACAAAGACAATGAGGCTTCTGGAGTTGACCAGAAAATTTAAATGACAACAACTGATAAACTAGATTTGTATTTTAAGGGAAGGCGAAATTCACATTTTTTGTTTTGTTTTTGGTTTTACTTTTCATTCCTTGAATAAGATGATATATTTCAGTGTTTATTAAGACAGAAATGGCTGACGTAATTAACACTTCGCACGGACAAATATGTCTCTTTAACATATAATGAACGATTACAATATTAATCATTCTTTTATTCAGCTCTCAGAGCATCCTTTCCACTTGAATGTAATTGGAAAAAAAAATTTTAAACGTCTCTGAACTCTTTTCATATTAATTGAAATATTTTCGAAGCTTTTACAAAACTGCGTGTACACACCGAAGGCAAAGTCTCGACCGAAATAACAATAATTATTAGTTATATAGCGCAAAATACATGTAGATATGATCTAATGCACTAAGACAAAAAAAAAAAAAAATGAATTTTTTCTGTGACTTAAGGCTTCACGCTCAAAATATTTCATCTGGCAAGGCTGATATCCTGTGGTTTGCCAGAGAGACCCTCGATGCGTTTCAGTTTATTACTCTTATTTATGAGAATATGTGTTAGTTACGAAGAGAGTTTTTTTTAACTAAGTATCAATTATTAACTTCACAAAGACAATGAGGCTTCTGGAGTTGACCAGAAAATTTAAATGACAACAACTGATAAACTAGATTTGTATTTTAAGGGAAGGCGAAATTCACATTTTTTTTTTGTTTTTGGTTTTTCTTTTCATTCCTTGAATAAGATGATATATAACATATAATGAACGATTACAATATTAATCATTCTTTTATTCAGCTCTCAGAGCATCCTTTCCACTTGACTACGATTGGAAAGAAAAATATTAAATAAACGTCTCTGAACTCCTTTTAAATTAATTGAAATATTTTCGAAGCTTTTACAAAGCTGCGTGTACACACCGAAGGCAAAGTCTCGACCGGGAAAAAAACCAAATGAATTTTTTTCTGTGTGGTGTTCTAGTTGGGTTATTAATATCTGAAGTCGAAGTATCTCAGGCTATTCTTTGTAAGGAAGCGTCTCTTTCTTGTCCTGTGATAACTCGCAATCATCACCGACTTAAAGGCTTCACGTTCAAAACATTTCACCTTGCAAGCCTGATATCCTGTGGTTTGCTATGTCAGAGAGACCCTCGATGCGTTTCAACAAATTTCAGAAAAGTTTTCAAAAGTCAGGGAACCTGTGAGTTGAACGACAGAGGAGCTCTCCTTACTGAGAAAGGAAACGAACTGGAATACGACGAAGAAGCAATTTACACCCAATTTTACGACACGGAGGTAATAAAAAAAATCTCGATAAAAGACAAAGAAGAAGGTGTTATTGGTTGCTCCAGACACTTGTCTTTCATTCGTGGTATCTTTCTCATAAAATCTTCATATTTCGACGACAGATGTGAAAACTTTCCATCTGTCATATTTTTCTTTGAATGTTTTTATCGTTTGGCCTTCAATTAGCTCACTTGTGCAGTCTCCATACGGTGATGAATCTGGAAGACTAGTTGATTTCCCAATAAATTAAAAAATAAATGATTTTTTATGTTTTCAGCATTACTTTCAGGCATTCAAGGAAGATTTAAAAGTCGTCATCTGCAAATGTAAGTAGCGTTGGTTTGAAAGGTATTCTTGAGATTAATGTTAACGACCTCGTGTTTAAATTACAATGATTTACTTGTCCCGGCTGCTTCTTGTCTCTCCGCCAATAGGATGCGGTGTCTGTCGTCCTCGCGAACCTTCGCGAACCTTCGCAAACATTCCCGAACCTGCTTGAAACACTCCGATTCTTATAGTTTCCTTGAAAGTCCACGAATGGTGTCAAAAAAAATTACCGAGGAAATTGTTGCTCAGGTTACATATTTATGAAAGTGGAAATCAAGCTTTAAATTTCCACAAGTGACCAAGACAGAATTTCTGCTTATGATAACCATACAATATCAATCAGACAGGTGATGAGAATAATGAAAAATATAAGTCCTTTATTCCATGATAAACAAATCAATATCTGTGTGATTGTATATCTCTGTCTCAATTTCAGGTGCGGAATCACCAAAAGCCCCAGTTCCCCTCGGCATGGAAAGCGGTGCTATTTTTGACTCACAGATCACCGCTTCCTCCATGTATAATGATAAACATGCCGCACCGAATGCTAGATTACATTTCAAAGGATCCCAAAACCCGCTTAGATATGCTTCCTGGGTAGCTGGAGTGAAAAACACCAACCAATGGCTGCAAGTGGATCTTCAGCAAACCACAAGGGTAATAGGCATAGCGACACAGGGGAGACATGATCACGATCAGTGGGTTACTAAATACAAGCTACAATATGGTGGTGATGGACTATTTTTCAGAGTTTACAAGCCAAACGGAGACACATCAGACACGGTATGAATACGAAAGACTTTTTGAACATGATGTTTTTTTCCTTCTTGCTGTAGGGTGGGACAACGAAAAATAATTATTCCCCAAGAGCGATAGAACCTGAGACCTTCGAATTCTTCGCTCCAATACACTAACACTTCGCCACAGTGACCTAACAGGCAACTGAGCTATTACGAGGTCCATCATATGTTCAAATGTGAGCTTTTCTTTTCTTGTTTTTGGTGGGTCTGCGACGAGGTAGAGATACTTGAGAACGCTAGAGAACGAGTAGTAGAAATAAGTGAGATCAAACTCTGTTAGTTTATATCTATATTTATGTTTGATTGCTGATGAACATGTAGAAAAGCATCAACTAAGGTTCTAGGTTTAGAGTTACCGCTCCTGTGTAATGCATTCATTCGTCAATTTTACATTCCACAATATTCTACTCAGGTTTTCCCAGGAAACACTGACAGGGACACAGTTGTGTATCACGATCTTAACCCGGTCATTGATGCTCGCTTCGTTCGAGTTCTTCCGATGGAATGGTTTAAGTTTATCGGAATGAGAATGGAGCTTTACTCTTGCTAAAAAAATAAGTTATTGGTTGAACTGTTTAACCCTGGCAGAATTATTGTGCTTAACTCCCCAAAATGATCAACATGAATCTTCTTTCTATAACATCCTTACATTATCCAGCAAACAGGCAATGAGAATAATTATTCAAACTTATCAGGTAGAAGTTGTTATCCTGATCTTACATCAAATTCTCATAACTTATTTACAGAGATATGTGTAGCAGCTAGACTGAGGGGAGAATTATCAATCAGATCTTGGGAGTTAAAGGGTTAGCGAGTTGTACGCGGAGAAATTCAATTTTCACAACGACTCCTTCAAACATGGGAAACCAAAGGATCAGGATGGGGGGGGGGGAATTCAACGCAATGGACTGGTTTTAATAAAAGAGTGGTGTCTAGAGACTAGAAGGAACCCTGGTTTAAGGCCAGTCGGCCTTACGTTTTATAATGATAATTGGACCGAGTGGTCGCTAATCATACGAGTGACTGACAAAATCAGACGAACGCGAAGCGGGAGTCTGATTTGTTAATTATGAGTATGATTACCAGAAGGAATTGAACGACTAGAAGTCCTGTTATTAACTAGTCAAAACTATGAAGGTTTGATAAAGAGACTAGACATCGGTTTATTTGGATCCAACATAATGACCAGCTCCCAGTTGGCTTGTTGGGTTCAAATCCCGTACGGGCCTGAATTTTTTTAACACAGTTAACGTGGCGAAATGCGAATATAGCGCGCGCACATGACGCGTTCTGTCCACTTACGCAGGTATGATGTGTTAATTATAACTTTCTCTTAAACTGTCCAATTACAAGCATGACGCGTACACTGTCCTATTAGTGCTCTAATAATATACATGGAAAAATTACTCAGTTTTGATTGGTTATAACAAATGCAGTTTTCAGATAATTCAGTGCAGAAGAGAGTTAATTCAGTGCAGAAGAGGGTTAATTCAGTGCAAAGAAAGAAACAAATTAGACATTCTGATTGGTCAATAATCAAAGAAACTCGCAGATAGCTAATCAAATGCGAGCCTTGGATGTCGCAACAAAATTTGAAAATTTGAAAATTTGCGAGCGAAACAATGGCCGGCGTTTTAAGTAGGTTTTCTTTCACCACCGCAGCTGAAAAACAGCTTAAACAACGAAAACATTGTAAAAAGCACTGCGTTTTGGTTGTCCGTTTGGAAAAAGTTGTGTTTAGAGAAGGGAATTGCCGAGAAAATCGAAAACTACGAGCCGACCCAGCTTAACACTTTACTCGAGCGATCCAACGCCGAAATTTAAAACAAACATGGTTAAACCTCGGAAACGACGATTCCATTTCATCAAAAGTGATTCGGACACAGACTGAACAATTCCTTGAACTGTTTAGCCGGACTTTGAACTTTTTTTGCATCTTAAAGATGTGAAGATATCATTGCATATTATTGTTTTGATCGTACGCACGGTTTGAATAAATTGTTTTTTGCACTTGATGCGCGCGCTTTGCTTATGTTTAATTATGATAAGCCATCTCGTATTTTTCCATGTATATTATTAACACGTAATCACATGATTTTTCTCGTGCAATTTGGAATAAACAAGCACTTGTTAATGTTTTCAAAGACCACAAATTGCACTCGCCCTACGGGCTCGTGCAATTTTGTTAGTCTTTGAAAAAATTTACTCGTGCTTATTTATTCCAAATTGCACTCGAAATCATGTGATTACCTATACAAATCGGGCTGGTGATAACCAATCGCGTTCGATAATTTTGTTATAGTTTTGATTACATACGTAATTGCAATATGGCAGTAAAGTTCAAACATTTTATATCGCATCCTTTCCATCTTTGCAGTAATGAACATGTAACTTCTTTTTAGCGCTTATTTTAAAACACATTATTCCACGAGCATGCAGATGAAAAGGTGAGATGAATCTATTAGCGGTAGGAGCTGAAGGAAGAATTTTCAATCAGATCTTGGGAGTGTAACGGTCAAGGTAGGGGAATTGAAATAAATGCAGGCAAGGAACTGTATTGTACGTGCTTGCTTATGTTGGTGTGTCTCCTTATTTTTCATTTTGTAGACGAATAACAGAAGTTGACGAAGAATACCACTGTGATGGAATCCCTCCTTTGCTGACACGATGCAATCCTTGTTTGTGGGCTACAAAGTGCAACAGCTACTTGACTGATCCGCCAATTAATTATCGTTATTAACAACAGATTAAATGGTAGTTTAAGCTTATTAGTCATTATTATTCATAATGTGAGCCAAATGCACCAATGGCAGCATATAAAAACGCACCTGTAAAAACGAACGAACGAATATTCTCTTTTTGGAGCCTCATGTTCAATTAACCTCAGTGCCTGACGAAGACCAAAGGTGTAGTGTTCCAAATATAGTTTATGTTTGGATGGCCTCAATGAAAACCAGGCTGCTGTCTAATAATAAAAATATGTAATTTTTCATGGTCTCTTAACTACTTCAAGAAGGAAATTGGTTTTTTTTTCAATGGAAAGGGATACATAAGTCAGTGTTCATTATGAAAAGAGCGGCAAGGAACCTCTGATGAGTTGACATGCCGTTAAAACGAGTTCACCAAGTTTTTTTTGTTAAACCTGAGAAAATGCTGATAAATATCGCGAGTGAGTGTATACCCAGATAGTCAGAGATGTGCTTTGGAATTGTTGTAAAATAATCGCACAGTAAAGGACCTTTGTACAACTGTTAAGGTTCAGAAACTAGTATTACACTTCTTAAGGCGAAATTTGCATTGATTAATAATTATAATAATAATGATAAAAAATTGATTGTGATAATAATAATAACATTGGTTAAAAATTAGCGGTGAACACCTTGGCTCTTCTAGTCCGAAACAGGAAAACATTGAAAGTCCTTGACTTTTTGTGAGAGTCGAATATGATACTAATATAATTATAATAATAATAATAATAATAATAATACTTTATTTATATAGCGCTATTTATATCACTATCCAATCACGCTATACAATGATTTTAAAATATCTCACGTAGAATTATTTAGAACATGAGTAAGATAAACTAACTGATAAAATAACTAAGCTGTCAAAATCAGAATTAAAACTAAGAATAGTAAAACCTCATGGTAAAAACATATTAACTAACTAACTACCTACCTACCTAAGTAAATAGTTAATTGACTAATCAATAATACAATATCTGGTAAAAAGCGGCTTTCCTAAAAAGATGTGTTTTAAGATTGCGCTTGAATTGCAACAAATTGACGCTTGAACGGATTTCCAGCGGCAGTGCTTTCCAGAGTTTAGCCGAGGCTACAGAAAATGATCTTGAACCATGTCTGGTAAGTTTGTAAACAACGTCAACCAAACGATGGCCATTAATTGATCTTAAATTGCGTCTGGGCACATATTATTTTATAAGATCGCAAAGTTATATATTTTGACGCTAAGCCGTTGAAGCATTTAAATGTCAATAAAAGAATCTTAAAAACTATGTGCTCTTCAATTGGCAACCAGTGGAGTTTACAGAGTACTCGTATTATATGGTCACATTTACGCGTATGAGTAACAATCCTGGCTGCTGCATTTTGAGCGTACTGTAGTTTCCTTAGTGGTTCCTTTGGTAGACCATACAGGAGTGAGTTTTACGGATAATATCGATATATGATAATCATGAATATCGTAATAAAATACGGATACTACAATGGACTGACACTAAATTAAAGAATAGTTCCCTGGTTTAAAGTCACTGAACTGCCCCTGAATGCTCTCACTTAGTTCTAAAAAAGCGTTTATGGGAGTTCACGCGTTTCACATCGTATTACTTTAAGTTTTATCAGTGATGACGATGATGAAACTTATCCTTAGGGTCTGAATACATAACCTTGAAAGCAGGTGAGAAGATGAGATGAATCTTTTAGCTGATGGGTTTTGTATCGGATTGAGCACAAAATTCTCTAAACCTGATTACAAATAAAAGTCTAACGGTTAAGGCAAGGCAATTGAGAAAAACAGCCAAAACTAGTGCACATGCTTATTAATACTGTTTTTTTCTTCTTATTTCTTATTTCTTTTCATTTTGTAGCCGAATAACAGCACTTAAAGAAGAATACCACTGTGATTTAACCCCTCCGTTGCTGACACGATGTGATTGTTGATTTTGGTTTTCAAGTAAAACAGCTGGTTGACTGATTAGCAAGTTAATTATTGACAGTTTTAGCTAAATAGTCGCTCTGATTCG